ATTGTGAGGATGGTGCTGTATTACTGTGGTGTCAGCTAAGTTGTAGGATTTCTCTGTATTCACTGCAACGATCCCCAGAGGTGGCCTCCCTCTTTCAGCTGCCAGATGTAATTCTGAAGTTCCAATTAGATGGCCGGGTTGTTTGTAATTAACGAGACAGTATGCTACATAGAAAAGGTTTGGCATTGGTGGAATTCTGACCGTAATCGCAAGTTTGTCAGAAGCTGAAGGGAAACTTGTTGGATATAAAGGTCAGTGTAATGATAGGTTTTTCCCCTAAAATTTGCGCACAGTGATTGGATAAATCTATCAAAGACCTGTTTTAAGATCTTAAAATTGTAAAGACAAGCAGACGTCACTGTGAAAAAAGCTGATGTTTGCCTTTTGAAGTTACCCTTGTAAATGCAAACCCAGAACTGTGGTCCCATCCTTACGAATCCCAGACCCAATCCGGACACTGGGATCCATGGCAGCACTGGGCTCTCCTGCCAGCATAGCGCTCACCTTCCTCCTTCTGTTACAGGATGTCCCATCTCTGAGCACTGTAGGAAACCCAGGAGAGGCTTAAGGAGAAGAACCCCAGATGTACCCTTGGGGACGGCAGAGGTCTGCGGCAGCCTGGGGCTGTGTCCCAGTGAGCTGGGCTGGGGCTGGCGCTGGGCTGCAGCGTTCCTGGGGCTGGGGTTCCCTCCCGGCTGGCGCAGGCTGGGCCTGTTGGGCTGGTCTGGGAGGGGAGCAGGCACAGCCCTTCTGCTGCGGGGCGAGGGAAGCATGTCTGCATCTGAGCATGCCGGAAGGGAGAGTTGGGTGCCTTACAAATAGGTGTCATTTTATCCAGACAAACCTAGGTTCTGTATGTTATTCTGCATGTGATTTATACCGTCCTTTTGAATACTACAAGATTAAAAATGTATTCTAACTTAAAATTTGCTAGTCTTCTGATTTCTGAATTTATTGCTCTGAGAGCACATAAGTGCCTAGGTACAGTAATTTACAAGTTATCCTTCCTGAAATAGATAGCATGAGTTACATATTCCAAAGTCCTGTGGCAGTGGCATTTACATGAGGCAGGTTTGTACAGCTTTGCACTACATTGAAAATGTGCCTTTTCATTTTGTAGACAATGCTCATCTTGTTTTCATGCGCCACACCACACCACGGTAGCCAAGGCTGAAAAAGAACAAGCATCTATTTCCCTTTGATGTCAGTTGTGTTGCTGTGGGTGCTCCTGTGTGGAAGAGGAGACTGGGCTGTGCAAGGCATACAGCAGGACCCTTGGTCGCCTTGGTTCTGGTTAATGTGTGCATTTGTCTGCTCAGTATTTTACTTTTCATTTTGGCTTTTCAGGTGTCAGTGAGGTGTAGAACTGGGGCCTTGTGCTCCCTGCTCCCTTGTGGTCTTGTTGCAGTGTCAGGTTGTGATTCAGAGCTGTGCTGATTTCAGGGGGCTTTGTCCTGTACTGCCTTTGCTGCAGCCATACCCCCAGGGGGTGGGAGAGGAGCGAGAAGGTGAGGAGCTGAAACTGTTGGGTAACGTGAAAGCCCAGCATAAGCAATGCAGAAGGAATTCATTCGCCACTTCCCACTGGTAGGCAGGTGGTTTCAGCCACCTCCAGGAAAGCAGGGCTTCACATGTAGTGGTTTCTTGGTCAGACAAATGCAATTGCTCCAAACATCCCCCCTTTCTCTTCCATCCCGTTAGCTCTTGCTGCTGAGCACGGTGCCATGTGGAATGGAATGTCCCTTTGGCCAGTTTGGGTCAGCTGTGCTGCCGGGAGCAGAACAGTGCAAGCTGTGCAAGGAGCTGAAATGTCCATGGCTCTGTGCAAGCAGTGCTCAGTAGCAGTGTGTCATCGTCACTGTTTTCATCAAAAATCCAAAACATGGCATCATACGAGCCTCTGCAAGCAACTTTATCCCAGCCAAATCCATGACAGCCCCGAAGGCCTAACTCAGGTACATGGAGTGCGGGAGGACCAAGGAGCAGCTTTCCAAGTTTTCTGCACCAGTTATCATTTTGAGATTTCTTAATTACTGTGATTGGTGCTGAAACAATTTCTTCTCTACTTTGATTTCTCTTCCCTGGTGATGTTATGATTCACTCTTGGAGATTTGGAAAACTGCTTCAGGCTTCCTAAACTTACACAACAGTTCACAACTAGAAATCTGACCTACTTCGGAGTTGCTCTTAAGGACGTCTCTGAGGCTCAACTAAAGCAGTGTATACTTTCCAAGCCCACAGGTTAGGGGAATAAATGATTTGTTAGGAAAATTGAAAGTCTGCACTGCAAGGAGGAATAAACAGCATGTTGTAGACTAACAAATTGCCTAGTGCTTAGATGAGATTCATGGGAATTTTGCTCACTTGGATAAACAACTGAACATGGAGATTTCAAGCAGAATGCGTCAACTTTCTCTTCTTGGTCCGCAGGATGGAGTAGACAGTGCAGGAGGAGAAAAAATTTGTAGTAAAAAAGTAACAAAACTGCTGCAATTTGTGGATTTCTGTAATTTAGAAAAGTGTATTTGTTTTTTTTTCAAGAATGAGCAAATGTTCTGTGTGAGCATCTTTATAGGTGTTAATTATGGTGTTTCATGCCACTTTTTTGAAGTAACTGCACTCACTGGTTCATGAGATAACGGTTCACTGATACTGGGATCTGGTTTGTTGGCAACTTTTATTTTGGTGATTAAGCTAAGCACACATTTTCTTCCCATGGTGAAGCAAGAAGTTTTTTGTAGCAGTACATCGAATTTGCATGAGCTGACATTCTTATGTGACATGTAAGACTGTAGGTTAAAGACAGCATTACATGGAATAGAGATGAGATCCTTGAAGTGCCGGCCCAGCATGTTAGCTTTCATTTGTATCCTGTTCTTTTGGCATTTACAGAAAATAAGGACCGATTTCCTCTAACCTATGAATAGGAGATTGAGGAAAAAAACCCAAACTTCTGAGAATCCAGACTATGGCATAGCATTTCCTGTTGGGTGGAATGGCCCTAGCTTTAAAACTTTGCTAAGTGACATTAGCCAACAGATCTCAGAATGTTTATAGCTGATGGCAATATTCAGATTCATAAGTGTATGTAAGATGAATTCTGAGCATAAAAGATTTTGAAGTACTGAATCTTTATTTTCTTCCTTGCAGGGCACTGTTCGAAGGATTATCATAGAGAATCCTGAGCAGGTAGGAAAACTGTTTGCTGCTGGAGTCTTTGTACCCCTTCCTTCCTAAATTGCCCCAGCTTGGAAAGGTACTTCCTTCCCTTTGTAATGCCACACTGAATATTTTGAAATCACAAGGTCCAAACCTCTGGGAGAGAGGAAACTATTAGGAACTGAAAGCACTACAGAATTGCCAGCTGGGCTTCTCAGCTCTTGGCATTAAGTCTCTATTAATATGTTTCGATTATATTGTTAGCAGATAATTTCTGCTTATTTTGGATGTTGTTAAGGGGGAAGCACAGTTGCTTTGTTTCCGAATGGAGAAGATCAATTTAAAAGAGAATAGTTCATAAAGTGGCAGAGGAACTTGTAGAGATTTAAAGAAAGCTCTTTGAAAAACCTTCTGCCTTTTTGTTAGTTCTTTTGTGACAAACTCCTGAGTGGAATTAGATGTTCATGTCTGGATGTTATGGGTAGAAACATCGTGAAGGTAGAGTGCTCAACAATTGTCTCCTTCCAAGAAGAGGTTGTAAGCAGCCCACCAGGCGACCTTTCATGACAAGCTGTACGCATTTAACCTGAGCTGGGGAACAGCGCGGCTGAAAGATGCAGCAGCCACACCAGCAGCTCTGTCTTCACACTCCTGAGACCCCAAGCAGTTTCAGAAGCAGTCTGATAAGTACTGTATTTGGCTCTGTGCTCTCAGAGCTCTCAGAGCAGGCCTACCCGAATTGGTCACTCAGTGGTGCCTGGGTGAACATTTAAAGTGAACAAATTTCATAGCTGCATGAACTCTAGCTAACGTGACGTAATGTCCACCTTTGGCACACAGCCTGCTCATTTTCTTCTGCCTAGCAGGATTCTGCAGTGAGAGAAAACAGTGCATTTGGCATTATACCATGGGGGGTGAAGGGAAATAGAGATGCAAGATGAAAGTCTGTGTACGTGCTGTGTGCATACTGCAAAAGAATAAATCCGAGTTCAAGAGGATGAAATGAATGCACACTTAAATATTGGTAACTCCAAAAAAACCATCTTAAAGTGCCACTTTGAATCACAAAAGAAAGTCATCACTGTTTGGTTAAAGTTGTGCTAACTCTGAATTTGCTGCCAACGTTTTTGAGTGCTTTTTATTAAAATCTGTTACAGGAGCCATTATCCTCATTTCTTAGAGGGGGCAATTTCAGTCCTGGAAATAATGTCATCTATGAAAAGACAATAAGAAAATATGAACTATTAAATCCCCATCAAGTAAGTTGGTTATTTCTGTTATCTATTGCAAAGGAAGATTCAGTCAGTACAAGAAAAGTAGCATTTGTTGTGCCTTGTGAACTAATAGTAGTGTTGTGCTAATGTGAAGTAATCCAGAGAACTGCCTTGCTGAGGAAGAGAACACCTCTCAAAGACTGGAACATAAACTAGCTGGGTGGGTGGGTGATTTTGCCAGCAGCATTTTCTTGGATTATTAAAACAGGATGGATGTGTCCGTGATATGGTGTACACTCTGATCCTGGAACTGCTGAAATGTCTGTAGAGGAAAATGCCATTGGTTATTTCCTGGAAAATACATTTATATTAACTGAAATAACAAACACTCAGTAATTCAACTGGAGCTCTTTAATCTCTGGAATACTTAATGGAACAGGATGCACGTGTGTTTTAAGTTAAATAATGGAGGTTCCTATTGCCTGAGCATGTTAAGTGGAACAATACAATAAAGCATACAGCTCAATTAAGAAAAGTGTGTCTTCTGTGCTTTCATCTGCAGCTGCTAAAATGTGAGGAGTTGGTAAAAGTTGGTGTTGAAGTGTAATAGCATGAGGCAAACTCATATTCAAATAGTAAGAAAAAGCAATTTTATTAACATTATTAAAATACCTGAAACAGTCTTTTGATGCCAAAACACCTTTCATTCATTTACGTATTTTTATTATGCTTTCACCTCACTAAGATGTGTTCAGCAACTTAAAGAAAATTCACTCCTGTTTTTATTTTAGGAGAAGCAGTACCAATTTTCCCACCAGTGTCAGATTCCACAGCTGTCTGATCAGTGCTGTGCCATGCAGCCCTGCCAGCAGCCCGAGCAGCCCGCAGTCACACAGCAGTGCCAGCAAACACAGACTGGCAGCCCCTGTGAAGTAATGCCCATCTCTGTGACTGATGACTGCAGAGGAAGTGCAGTGAGGAGGGTGACAGTTCAAACCTGCGAACAGGTAAGAATCATTTGCTGCATGTTTTACTACTCACAATATGCTTTTGGACATGGAGTACAGAACTTTACATATAGATTAAGATACTGATTTCTGCTCTTCAAAAGTCCACATTCAAAATCATAGCGTGGTAATTAAGCATTATGTCCCTTCTGTAAGTATAAACAGCAAAGTGCTTAAGTGTACCCATCAAGTCCTGCCGCTTTGTTGTGGTGCTTTTTTCTTTCTTTATCTCAGAGTGCTGCTCATTGATTCAGTCAGGTTTCATCTGTTAGTACAACAAAGGCTGAGTAATACAAGATTTAATGCTTCTTTCCCGTTTTAGTAAAATGTAGGTAAAAAGTGCTTTGTAAACTGGACATAGGCCAATTCAGCACTGCTTTCTATCTGAACTGCTCAGTGGGGGTCTGAAATAACTTCATGTGCAAGTTGGTGAGTAGCACTGTTTTGGCTGGGGGTTCACATGTGGCAGTCCTGTCCCATGCATCTGTTGAACATACAGGTGGTGAGACTGACATACTGGGTGATGGCTGTATTGGTCTGTGGAAATTTCCCATAGACAAGAGTCCAATAAAACAACTTAGTTAAACTCAGTTTAGCCTGTTTTCACTTCTATTATTCATGTAAGTAAACATTTTATCTTCAGTTAAAGATGCTTTAACTTTCTGTTGGGTTTAAAAAAAAAACAAAAAAAGAAGGAGGTGGCTTATGTGAGTGCCTTTCTGTAAGTTCTCAGTGCTGTCCATATGCATTCTGCCCACTACTACAGCTATGGAAACATTGAAGATCATTAAAGGAGGTTTTACTAATTATCTATGCTTTCTGTATTAGAATAAGAATGATAACATTGCTGAAAAAGATATTGCTTAGCCTATTTCTTGTTGCTGTAAAGGAAGAATTTACTTCTGTATAGTTTACTGAAAACCAGAAGACATGGAACACACAATAGCCAGGAAAAGAATAGTATAAACAAATCACACATTGGTAAGAGTAAACAAAAAATTCCACCACGTTGGTAGCATTTTCACATGCAGCTTTCTTCCCAAGGAAGTGAATGGGTTATGATCATCTTGCTTACCATCTGTTACTTCAATTGCTCTCAGGAGAACAATGACCAGCTGGACTGCCGCTACTTCGGTGAGCTCCTTGCTGAACTGAACCGCAAGACCAACGACCTGTACAGCTGTTTACTACAGCATGTGGAAAAGATAGGAGGAAGGTATTGGCCTTATGTCTGTCACCTGACATTTTGGTATTCCAGAAATCCTAGGAATGCACAGCTGGGAGCACAGATACAAGTTGATTGGGTCTTGACAATGTCCTTATCCTTCCCTCACAATCAGCATTACTTTGGTATTCCCCTCTCTCTCTCACTTGGTGCTTTCAAAAAGTTCACTGAAATGAGTGTAACTGCTCTGTAGCATGGGAAGAGTGGGATTTAAACATCACAAAGAACCCCAGCACTGCTAAGAAAACACCTGATGCATGTCAATAAACTTCAGCTTAGTTCTGGTTAAAGACATCACCCAAACCAATTAAGAACCGGGTTAACCAACCATCATTGGGACAACTGCCCAGAGAAACAGAGAGAGTTAGCCTGTGCTGACTGTGCTGCTGTTGGTAATGCAGTTTCCTCACACAGCTGTACAAGGAGTAATATTTAACAACGCACTGCCTGTTGCCTTACAGGGAGGCTAATGGCTCTTAATCTTATGATGAACCCTTTTTGTTCTGCACTGCAAAGACAGATAGTCTTTTTGTAGCTGTCAAGTGGTCAAGTTCTGCAAAGTCTTTTGTTCATCAGCCCACTGCATTTTGTCTGTTTTCCAGGAACCATGACATCGAATTTACGAGTCAGGTAAGCATCAGGGGGGCTCTTACAAAGCTGATCTCTAAAAGTCGCAGTAAGAGCGGTGTGGATCTTGGAGCAAATGAGGCCAAGCAAGTTTAATTGAATGATGCTGATCTTTTGTTAGTTCATGATTTCTGCTTGTTAATAGCATTCAGAGCCTGAAACCTACTGCTGGGCATGCATTTGCATTTGCAAGTGTGATAATACTGAAAGAAAGGAAGTTCAATAATTTGCATTATTATTATTACTATTGCAGTACGAGTCAAATTTTGAGTCTTTCCTGTTACACCAGTAATGGTTTCATTGTAAAACAAACGTACAGAGATGCATGTATTTTCAGTATGCATTTTTGCAAAGGACGTTTTATTCTCTTGCCAACAAAGCAGCTGCTTCACAACATGCACTGCTGTGCACTGCAGAAGTAAAAAAAAAGCCCTGCCTCTCACTGTGATGAGAGGAACTTAAGTTGCCAGAATGACTTTCTAGATTTCCTGACTGCTCGCTTGTGGGAATCCAGGCGTAATGCATACAATCATCAGGGCCTTTCTTCTTTTTAAAGTCGTTATGCTTGTGATAGAAATGTTTGTTTAGGATTAAATTACATGAAGCAATGCCACTTCATGGCTGTCAGCATCTCCTGTAAAACTTTAGTCATCATTTGTTTGTTGACAGTCTTTTCAATATTTAGAAACATGAGATTTGCTCATAATCATTAACTGCTGCGAGCTCTGTTTTAGAATTAAGTGCTATTTCTTAAGAGAGGATGATTTTGAATGCTGCTTTTAAAATAAAATTTAAGCTTAGTGTAGATTTAAATATAAACTTCATGTATCACTTCATCTCAGTTTTTATATGCCACACTTTGGAAATTTTCTGGATATGCTTTGATCTATTTTCATTCTTATTTGCCTTGTGCTAAACATGTTTTTCATAGCAGAGCTGTGTAATTAATTAAGAAACTTCATAATGATCAACCAGGCAAAATTCTTAATCAAGATGTCTCTTTCTTCATCCCTTTGCTTAGACTGAAGATATTGAAGAATTAATTCCCAAAGGACTGTCTGAGGCAACAAAGCAGCAGATTCGTTATCTCCTCCAGGTGTGTAAATAACATGGGGGGAAGCCTCCAGTAACTTGAAGCAGTAGAAGCAGCTGTATACAAACATACCAGGGAATCTGTATGTAACACTGCTCACTATTCTGCTTTTTCCATTTATTCTCTCTAGAGGCTATGGTATCACACAGGTGGCTCAGGTGCCATGCAGCAGTTCATTTCACTGCTCACTTGTTTATTTTAAACTGTTTTACTGAACTTCCTTGCAGTTTTGCTGGAACCCATTTTGGCTTTTGGCAAGGAATGAAAGAAGCTGAATTTCAGTATTTTTATTTGTGTTGTATATTAATGCTTTACTTTAGAAACTAAAGGCAAACAGTACGTGTCTTACTGAGCGATGAATCAGGTATCAATTACTAATTACATATGCTGCCTCTCTCTAACTTGCCTTTACAAATGGTCTGGCTAAAAACACTGCTAAATGCACTCATCGCCATGGCACACTTACAGTATCTGGTAATAGAACATATCACTTCTGGTTTGGGTCCATTTATAAATGGCTTTTGGCTTTTTTCTCATCATATTTCCTAGCTACTTAACGAACTCGATGCCTGTGTGTTACAAGGCAGTAATTCAAAAGGAACAAAGTGCCTAAAAAAGTCTTAGAAAATGTGGGCATTTCAAAGAACAGTGCGTACAGTAGTTCTAGAAGTTATTTTCAGCTGTAGAGCAGTTCTGTGCTTTTATATATAGTTAAGCATTTTGTAAACAAAACTCACTAATTAGAATAATATATATTTTATTTTTTCTTCTCCTAGATGAGAGTGACATCAGATAAATCTTTGAGACTTGTGCTTTCCACTTTCAAAAACTTACGTGAAGAGCTCTGCCATTTGCAGGATGACCTGGGGGTAAGTTGTATTTCTCAGTTCCCACGGCCTCATTCATTTGTTGGTCTATCACAGTAAAGTCCATTATGATGAAATTTAACTCATGAAGTCCAAGCTTAGTTGCCTTAATAAAAACGGATGGTTCACTCATTGACTTGCAAGATCTGAACAGTGAATGAGGTAAGATTTCTTCCTAGCAGTGGTTTTCAAGTGTTCAGTTTGTCAAAACCTAAAAAAACAAAAACAAAAACAAAAACAAAAAATTAAATCAAGAAAGGCTCTGTTTGAGTAGATTTAGACTTTAGACTTAGCTCTGCATTAGTATATACAATCTGTGTGTGCCTACATCGATGGAGATGTTTTGGAACTGTGTTTCTGTACATGCCCTGTCTGTGTTATAAACACTGAGTCCTTACTTAACAGCACTCTTCTAGGAAGCAGGAGCGCTCAACTCCTGCCTCGTGTTACCTCCCACTCTATAGGAAAGCTGCTGTCAGCTGGCACCTTTAACAACTCAGCAATCCTGAGTTATACAAGCATCACACTTTGCAAACTGGAGCTCTACAGCTCCAGATAGTTACTGTTAGGAAAGCAGATACATTTCTCATGGACAGCCCCAGTACTTGACATCACTGGAAGCTTCAGAGCGTTCTCTTGTAAAATACAAAGTTTGAAGAAGAGAGAGGGGGTTTACCAGTCACCTCTGGCATGAAGTGGGTCTGTGCAGTGAAGTACTCTTTGGATTTTTTTTCTTGAATTCAGTTTAGTAACTACACGTAACAAAGTCTTTCTAGGACACGTTGAAAGAGCAGTTTCTGAGACTACTGCTTACCATGCAGTATGAAGCCTCATGATGAGCATGGCTGCTGTAATGAACACGTGAGCTTTTAATGAACAATGAGCTTTGTAATTTAAGAAAAAACAAGTTTCAAGAAAACTGGGTATTTATCACTTAATACAAAATATTTTGCACTTTGAACACACTTAGGACTAAGCTTACTGATAAATTGCAGCTATTTACAGCTAATGTTTTTGTCTTACAGAAGCTAGAAACTGACAATGTCTTACTTAAGAAGGATTTGGCTTTTAAAGAATCTCAAGTAAAAGAATATGAAACTATGTTGTCTTCTCTGAGAGAGAATAATCGTCAGCAGCAGGTAAATCTAAGAATATAGTTTCAGTATAATTACTATCAGCCATAAACCAGCTTCTGTGCTGGCTTCTGAGTGTTCCAAGTAATTACTGCCTGGCTATATGCTGTGTGGATGATCCTATTACTCCCCTAAGAAACACCATGCATTCATTCCACTCCTGTGCTTTCCAGCAAGGACTCAGAGACAGTACTGCCAGGTGTCGATCTCTGGAAGAACAGCTTCTTTCTCTTCAACTCAACGAAGGAGAAAAGGATTGTCAGTTAAAGGAACTGGAATACTCCAAGCGTGCCTTGGACCAAGAGATCCAGAGTCTTAAGCTACAGGTAATAAATAATACCTTCACTTGCTCTTTGTTCAGCTGCTGTTATTCACAGATGCAGATGGCCTGGTGAAGAAAATAATATTAAAGAAATCTCTTAAAAATAAAAAATGCTTTTTTGCTTTAGATCTGCTCCAGTCCAACAGTTCAGACTACCACAGATGAACTCTCCAGCCGTTACGTAGAGATGATCAATAACTTGAGAGAGGATAAAGACCGCGAGATCCGCAGTCTCAGGGTATGTTGATGAACTTGGTATATGTGCACTTGTCACCTTTTGTGACAGGAGGTATCAGGTTATTTTTTAATTAAGAGAAGATCTATCAGATGCTTTTTACGTATCTTTTGGTTCTGCAATTATTTTATACAACGCTAATGATAGCACTGAAACTCATAAAACTGTGATTTGAAAAAAACAAAGTCCTTTGACGTTCGTGATTTTAACCAACAAAATACATACAGAGTTTACTGTATACTGCACGCTTTCTGTATACAGAAAGGTTACCTGCAAGGAGCACCAAACACCAAACTAACTATTTCTCAACCTGTATTTCACAGTCTCAGTTGTGCCAATTCCAGCAAGATATATCAAGGCAAGAAGGGAACAACAGCGACTTGCAAATAAAGCTGCATGAACTGACAGCAATGCTGGAGGAGAAAGATGTTTGTATTAAACAGCAGCAAGAGGTAAAACAGAACAGTGCATTTCTTGTTTAAGAATATTGTATGCTTGAGCCTTCACTTGCTTTGAAGGTAGCAGTTTAATTAGGAAGTCACGTGTACCCTCCTGGTTCAGGAACTGGGGTTAGGATTATTATTATTATCTTTCACTGAGCTAAAATTAATAATACTGTTTGTTACTCCACCACTTCTCTTGGAAGGACATACATACTATTTCAGAGCATTCTTCAATAAGAATTTCAGCGTGGATTCTTCTGTGACTTCAGTGAACCAGTACATCAGAAAGCATGATTTATTTTACTTGAATGTTCACTTCTGGTTTTCTCAGGAACTCTTCAGACTCAAGCATGACAGAGTATCAAGCAGTCAGTCCCCTGGTGTAACAGCTATCATCACGAAGAAGTAATGTAGTTATTCATCTTTCTTAAAAATACATCTTCATTTTCCATTGCATACTTCTATTAACTATGTCCTTACCTCCTGCAAACGTCTTAATGCCAAATGTCTGTTCAACTTTTGCAAAAGGGAAAAGCTCCACCTAGTAAAAACCATTTGGAAGGATTCAATCCTACGCACTGTAATCGCAAACGGAGGGGTGGCCAACATGTTACAGACATTTAAATTGCAGTGTTAGCATTTTTGTTACTAGTAAGAATATGTGGAGATTGTTAACTGACAGGATTATGGGGTAAGATCAGAGATAGTGATCTGGATAATACAGGTATGCAGATTTCGGTTTGATAGTTTACAGCTGAGCAACTCTTTCCAATACAGGTACAGGAATCAGTATCCCATCCTGGGTCTTTTGTCTGACGACTACAAGGTTACATCACCTGTCAACAAATCACAAACTATTGTAATTGAGAGGACTGGAGAGATATGGAAACATGTAAGTTCATCTAGGGATTCACTACAGGGTCTGAGATACGGAGTATTTAATTTTTTTTCAAAGACGTGATGAGCCAAAACTGATGCCTGAGAGAAAAGAATAGCATTAATTTTGCCATGCTGCAAAGAGCAAGGCAATGGAGTCAAGAAACTGCACTGTCTGTTGCAAGGAGGCAGTAATTGCTAGGTAGAGTATAAATAAAACAGTGTTGCTATTTTCTGACCTTTAATTAACTTTAACAAAGGAAGTGGTGTTGCTCTAACAGTCTTTGCCCAGGTGCGCGAGGCAGTCCTCTGGGCATCACTATCTGTAGTGAGGAGTTGAGAACTTCTTCAGCGCTCTGCTCTCAGGTGAAAGGTACAGGTGGTGTGCTTTGGGTGCATGGCATTCCTCTGAATCATGAGTATTAATTACTCTGCACTATTATTAAAACAGATTAAGCACCATGTTCCTGAAACTTACACAGAGACAGAGCAGTGACTAATCCAGGAAACACAGAAGAGTGGTGACTTCTTTTTAAAGAGTGACTTAAAGTTACAGAAAGTGGGACTGCAGAAGCTGTTTATGTTACAAGGTACAGGATAGCATCAAATCTGAACACAAGGTAAAGACTTGAGAAAGATCAGCACAGCCAGCTCACACCAAGTACAGCAATGTAAGCATAGCTTTCTGGGGGACACAACCAAGAAAAGGCAACTTAAGGCAATAAGGCAATACGAGCAGCCTGAGTAGGCTGAAAGTAAAACATCTGGCAAGCAAGGAATTAACACAGTAATAAAGAAATAACAGTAATAAAAAGCTAAAATCTCTTCCTTGCTTACTTGAAAAGTTAGTCATTGTTTCCATTTAATGGAAAATGAGAGTGTATGCTGCATTTAAAGAGATCAATATCACTGAATAAATAAGAACTATTAACTGGTTGCATTTTAAGTTTCCCAAGGTCTTTATCACTGGTGCAAGTTTCAGCTGAAACAAAATGACTTTGTCACAAGATAAACTTGATAAATCCAGTTTAAGAAGTGCCAATTTCCTCCAAGCTTGAGAAATATTTTTTCTGCATTTATGTTCTGCCAACAAAATCTTTCAATCTGCATTCATTACTGAATAGCGATGCTGACTGATAGGAATCTGAACAGAATACTGACAGTAGCACAGATGTGACAGTGCCTTTCAAGTAATGAGTATTTATCATGCTGACTCTTTCAGGATGCTCAAGTAGAAGCACTTCACTTCAATCTTAGTTACATTAGAGAAAAATTCTCAGGTAGAAACTCTGTAATGTCTGCTATTTAGGTATCTGATAACTTCCTGTGCCTGCTGGCATTCATAAATATAAAAACAGCCCCTCCCAATATTGTCTACTCTTGTGATTACTGAAAACAGTGAATGATGCCTGTTCTGGCTTCTGCCACTTCCTGGACAGAACTGCCTGCAGCTTAATGATATGACTTCGACCATTCCACAGCCAGCTGCTGTAAATGGTGACACACACTGCACTCGTGGAGGGGAAGGCTCACTCAGACACTTAGAGACTGTTAGAGAAAACAAGCATACAGTTAACTGAAGCATTCTTTGTACAGCAGACAGTTAGGTGAGTATGCATATTACCTTGTAACAAGCTGCTTGTTTCTTTGCTTTTAGGAATGAAAGAAATCCCTCAGCCATCCAAGCTGGTTAAAGGAGTCTACAACAAATATCTAAAATTGCTTTCTTTTCTGCTTTTTTTTTTTTTTTTTTTTTTTGCCTCAGTAGAAGGTTTGGTCTGATAGTGAGAGAAAGGCCAGGGAAGAAATGAAGAACATGAAAGTATGAAGGCAGTGCAAGACAGTGTCTTGTAACAAATGGTAACAAACTGAGGTACCTGTGTCTGTGACTTGTTGCTAACATCTGTTGCACAAATGTTACTGGTACTGTTTCATGCACTTACTTTTCTCTCAGAAGAGAATGGCAGGCCATGCTGGTGAGAACTTCAGTTTTTCCTGATGTGCCCAACATCTGTTCTTCAGTCACTCTTTCAGCAATCTAAAAGACAAAAGGAGGAACTCTGAAACATTTTTGTTTTCCTCGTGATAGCATTAGCTGTGTTTTTTTCTCTCCTATCTGCTTGTGATTGAGAAGTGAGAGGGATACAAATCTAAGTCACACACACGGAATGGCTGGTTTCAGTACAGACAGAATCACAAATTATCACTTCATCTACTGCAGCCTGTTCAAGATGAAGTAAAACCTGGTAAGAACTGTCATGGGAAATGTTACTTATGTTACATCTGCCTGTCCAAAACTAAACCACAAAGGAAAATGACTTCATTTGTTCCAGATATAGAAAACATAGAAATTGAATTAGCAGATGACTTGATTTGGGCTGATGCCAATTCTGAAGAATGTTACTGACATCAGAATTAACATATTTCAGGTACACCACTATAAGCCCCCAAACCAGCCACAACTATTTATTTTGCTGTGTTTGAAAACATCAAGATCTCATTATATTTTTATATAGAAAAACTTAGCTCACAGAGTATATTTTATTATCAGACCAACCTATTTACAGTTTTTTGCTCCATGCAGGACTATGGGAATTCTCTCATCTTATTTGGTACAAATAATTAAACTGCTTTGGTATAAATAATTATGTAGCTGTCTAACCAACACAGCGTGTTAGGTGAGCGGGGAAGTGCTAAAAGAAAATCATAGGCAAAAAGCTTTATGCAGTCAGAAGATGCTAGCTGTGTATCACAGGGTTCTTGCTTTGCTCTTTTTCAGGAATCATAGTCTGTTTCTGCAGACACACACATACTTCTGTTCGCAAATAATATGCAGCATAGACACTGTTTAATGGTGAAAGAACCCTGTTGGCAATATATGTTAAATAAATACAACGTTCTAAATCATGACTCTACTGGAAGCAACTTCTATCTACGCAGTACTGGAGGGGGTTGTTTTAGGGGATGTGATGCTTTTCTGAGGCAACAGATTTCTCTATACCCGTCTTTACAAGTAAAGGGGTAGTGGGATGCTGCTTTTCTTGCAGTTGATCCAACCTTCGTTCAGTTAATATAACAGCATAGAGAAACCATAATACATTGACACAGTACTGTCAAATGTATTCTATCATAATAACTTTACTGGCACTGTCTAATGACTTACTTATCATCCCTGGTGTCCCAGACCATAAAAACAGAAAAAGAATAACACATTTGTTTAATGCCATCATACTGATGGGTGCTGATTTCCCAATGAAAAGAGACAAAACAACTTTCTGACTTACTGTGGTCTTTGCCATGAACTCATCTGGGCTTTACAAGCTAGAAGCATTATACAAACAGTTCCAAAGAAAGAAGCTGCAAACAGCAGAAACATCAGTTATTAATGGACATACTTTGCATTCATTTCAGCTACTGCAATGGCTGTACAGCGTATTTACAAATCCTTCTGGAAGATAACTACTACACAAATGTTTCTTTAAGTCTGTATGACTTTCTTAAGACTATAAAAGCACAACAGAAGCAGTAAATGCCCTTATGGACAGAAGAATGCAGACTGAATGCAGTCAGAGCTGCTGGGTGTTGTGCTGTCATTCGATGACGAGGCCATGATTAGGCAAATGAATTAGGCATTATGGTCCATTTGAAAACATGATGATTGCTCCCCATACTTAGAGAGCTGGTAGCACACATACTACTAAAAAAATATATTTATTAAAAAAAAAAAAAAAGCCTGGTTTTCTAACCAGAAATGTCAGTAGTGCATTGTGTATTAAGGACCAGCTGCTCTGAGGCTCATGAGATTAACTTAAAGCATTCATATATTGTACATTCTGAAGCACTAATTGCCAGAACACCACATTTTACACCCAGGTACCACAAAGTAACAGATACTTGTTGAAAAGCAGAATGAGACGAGATGGACCATAATGACCATGTGGGGTTGGTTTTGTTTTTAAATTGGGTTATTTAATAAAGCAAAATTAGTAGTTTCATTATAAAAGTAACTGATAATTGCTGTTGCATCCTTTCCAGTGAACTGAAACTGATTTACCAAACATTATTTCTGTTGGACGCATTTTTCACACTTACTCATCTCTGTAAATGCCAGTTATCACTCAAACTATCAACAACATTGACAATTTTTCACCTCAGTTTCACGTTTGTCCAATGAGATTGCTACATTTTTTCTGGAGCAAATTCAGAAAATCAAATGCAGCGTTTGTGCATTTACAACAAAGTCTGTACTGCCCTTGTCAACTACTAATGGTTTTATCAACTGAACCCTTACGGCCAGAGATCTGACACTATGCAGTTTCTTGCTCTTAAACTGAAGAGTAGGAGAAAAAAGTTCTTTCAGTTTCTCTTCTGATCTTTCCACATAATTATGTAATACAAACTGTTTCTCTGCCCTCGCTGTGAAATGAAAGCCAAATACAGTCCTACTGTAGAAGTTCCTGACCCCTTTAGCACTGTCTGAAGAGTCAGCATAAGCTGTGAATGCTGCAGCAAGGTAACAAACATACCTTTATCCAACCTTTACCTTGAGATTACTTTGTTGGCATTCCTCCAAATACTCTTTCCATTTCATCACCTTTAATTGTGGACACTTGAAACCTGAAGAAAAACAATGGATGATGATTAAGTCCTGAGTCACTTTGAACTGCTTCTGGCATTTATGAATTCTGTCATTCAAATTAAAAATGCAATGAACAGCTGACATTCAGAGCAACCCTTCTGCATGTTTGTGAAACTTGTTGCTTGCTCAAGCAAACGTGAGCTGTTTTGTGCATCATGTACAACACCACAGGAACAGGCAAAGGGAAATCCAAACATGGTCAGGGACAGCTGAGCCACCTCAGTGCCACGCTCCTGGGGGCAAACAGCTTTACAGCACAGGTCAGTGTGCCCTGACAGAAGGCACAGTGCTGCCAAGCTCAGGGGAGCAAGGCAGGGCAGGTGCAGCCTGGAGGGAGCAGGGATCTGAGGATGCACTCAGAAGAATTTTACTGTGACTTCACAGGATGCATTTTAAAAATCATGACACCTCTAGTAACAGCCATCCCAAGTTAAACATATACTGGCTAACTGCATTGAGAAGAATACAGGAACTTCCTCAAACCACTGTGAAATTTAAGAACATGGATACCAGTACTTACTACTATTTTTCCCTTCAACAGTCCTTATTTCCACACTGTCTCTTCTTAACTACATCTCACTGTCCATTTTGCTGTTCCACTGTCAAAAGAAGAAAGAAATAATGAATATAAAGACAAGTTCAAACTGCTAAAGCAATAAGCCAACCAAACTGCAGAGGTAACTCGTCTTCTTGCTTCCCACTGGAGAAGGTTGCCCGGAACCACTTCCATTAAACTCAGGTCAGGTTCTCCATCTATCTGTCACAGAGAGCAGGGCTCCTACACAGAGACTACTAGGCTGCACCTGTTCTTCAGCTCCTCTTTCCCTTCCTAAATTTGTTCCTCAGCTGACAACAACCAACTACAGCTGTAGTTTTTCCAACCACTATTTCCTCCCTCATATCTTGGAAAACATGCTCCTCTCAGATTTCCACATTTCAAAAGGTAGAACTTTTTTTTTCCTAACTAGAAGGAAATCTCACTACGCAGACCTTCAGGTTGCGAAACACTTAAAGCCAATTTCAACTTCTGTAATAAAGCATTACAAAACTTTGTATGATGATGAAGCTGAAAATGAAGAAAATCTTTATCCAGCACCCACCATATTGTTTTTGCCATCATTAAATATATTAAAAAAAAACAAACCACACAAAACAGCGCTCAGTGGACTTTACAGTGTGTAAGAGTTCAGGGCATGGAGTAACTACATGCAACAGAAAATCTGAGTAAGAGAATTGATGTCCCACACTGCACTGTGCTTTTTAGGAGGGTAGACACCAGTGGTTCTTAACTAACATTTATTCTGAGAAGTTTTGGCACATCCCATAACTGGAATAAATAAGCATCGTAAAGGGAGTTTTCTCAGATGAAATCTGTAAGGAACCATACATGAGAAAAACATAGTACAGGTGTCTACTGTTGTTTTCTTCAAACTTCAGAAAGATCAGAGCAACTTAACATGGCCATCACTCGAAGATGTGGTGTCACTTCCAAAACCTTGAAAACTATAAACAAAAATCCAGAACTAAAAGATGGTGTCTGGATGAGGTGCTGCATGATATGGTTTAGTAGCTTAGTGGTAGTATTGGTGGCAGGAGGACAGTTGAACTAGATGATCTTGTAGGTACTTTCCAAGCTTGTGATTCCATGATTCTATGACAGGTAAGATAACAACTGGCGTTCAGTTAGAGACTTAGAAAATAAGAAATCCAACTTTGGTGTGTATTATCTCATCTTACACAAAACAACCATTTATCATGGAAAGAATTACCTACATCTATGCGATTTTAAACTGAAATCTTGTAAGCTCAAAGCCTTCCTCCGTACTCCTTTGTCTGCCGCCCTCATGGCCTGTTCTGTACCACACCAACCCTGGTGGGTCCTTAGGCAGTGCAGAACGGAATCTGGTTACAGTGCTGGCTGAAGATGTTAAAAGTACTCACATATCTGGTTATTCTGTCCATCCTGGAGGTGGAAAAATGAGCCAGCACAGAACGGTCATCTTCAGCCTGTTATGAAGGATCTCTTCCAGTCTACGTATTCAATATAATTTTCAGGAATAAAGTATTAAAATTGTCAACAAAACAAAAGATTAATTTTTAACATTTTGTGAGTGTCACTGTCTCCTCCTCTGTCTGCTGGACCTACAGAAGAAGAAAGTATCAGAAACAAAAACCAGACTATTCCATTAGCAACGTCTGCATAGTTTGTTTGCCCGCACAACAGCCACGCGTTGGCTGGCCAACAGCGCACTGGAAATCCTCGATGGAGTGTTCATTTAACACTGCATTATTTTCTTAGAGTTTCCAATCTACCACTGATGCCATGATTCAAGTATTCTAAGAAGAGAAGAAAATTAAGAAAGTAATGAAAGCAGTATTTTTAGCATTTCGACAGCTGCTCTTATTATAAAGCTAATAAAAGACAGCACCTACCTGCCTTTTTCCAAAAATTGAAATGTTATGTTCTCTTCACTTGAAGGAAAGAATTTCAAAGGTACAGCACTATCACATGTGATAATTATTTAGAAACAGAAGTACGTACGTTACCTGTCACCTTAGCAGCTTAACTGGAACCTCAATATTCCCTCAATATTCCCCCTCAACAGTGGTACACAAACGTACCTCGGGTAACCTGCTTACTTGAGATGTTATGACATTTCATATCAACCAGGGAATAAAGTAACTAAAATATTAAGGCAAAATTACACCGAATGAGACTTTCCTAAATCACCATAAATGAGAAATAGACTCCAAAATATTTGGAGTGCAAGAGATGCATTTTATTGTACGCCCGTTACGATGAGTAACACATTTAGAAATAATAATCCCACACAGTGACAATCTTATTTTACAGCGTGTACATCATTTTTTACAGCCACATAAAACACGTATTTTTCTAAGAGATTTCCCAAATTTCACTTCCTGAAGTTTAGAAATATAAAAAAAAATTTTCTCAAGGAACTGATTCTCATCTGGTGCAAAAACAAAATATGAACATATCTGAAACACAAAAAGCCACAATATAGCATGAAGTTACAATTTCTCATGTGAACAGCTGTGTGCAAACATGAAGCAACTAAAAAGAGTAAAAAATACACATTATATGCGTAACACTTATGAACAGGTTGTTCATTAAATAGCCCTAGACCAGCTCGTTATATTAAGCGCCATTTGATCTGCAGCATGCTAACACAAAGCACTGTTTAAAGGGATGCATATTTTAAATGTATACACTGTAAACTGAAGATCCATCTCCAAACTCTAGCGGCAGCATATTTCTCTGGCTAAATACTGCATATATACTTTCTTACAGATTGAAAATGCACGTTTATAGCGTGGTATAGATTTCTTTCTTTTAAGAATTGATTAAAAGGTGCAATTTTATGTCTATATTGAAAATTTCATATTAGGAGGCAGGGCAATTGCCATACCTGCTAAGAACACTGCCCTAAAGAGCTTCTAAGTGCTCTGAATTTTAATTAAAAACAAACTACAGGTTTTTTCAATTTTCTTTCTAATAGTACTTTGAGATCTTAAAGTAGTGAGAAAAAAAAAGTAGTGCTGAGTAGCAACACTATCAGCTGCATCCATTTCATCCTTAAAAAATAGAATCAGATTCAAACTTAATTTTATGTGCCATATTGAACAACATTCAGCCATAGTTTCAGGTAAAAAAGGGAAGTTATGTACATACACGTCTTTAAGCCTAGCACCAAAACACCACCTCTGAGATCACAACGCTGTGTTTTTATCATTGTATCCTGCAATAAAATAGGTTAGCAGCTTTGAAAATCATTACAAATTTCTTGTTGGACCTAACTAATAGAGGAAACCAAAAAGTTTCCCAATGAAACGTTGTATTTGTTGAAAGCAGGACAACCCCCCCTAACTCTGACCAATTCTAGAATATAATTTCCAGGCACGATTTCAAGCGTTATGACCAAGTGACTGACGAATACTCTTCTCTCAGAACCACACAAGAAGCCAGGCCCAGCTGCCTCAGCAAACCAGCTGTGAAGAATCCCGTCACGTATCTGAACTGTTTTAGTATGGAGACAAACGCTCTCACTGACAAAACGGGTAACACAATCATCTTCTTTTTGTCTTCCATAGCTTAACAACGCGTAATACTATTACTTGAAGACATTCATTCATCTTTCTGCAAATTTAAGACATTCATCCATCTTTCTGCATTCTATAGTGCTCTTCAGGTTCTGATAAGCAACAATCATAGGGCTATGAGATCCCCTGTCAACCCTAATACTTTAAGACTTTTAATACAAAGAATGTAAAGTTATGATTTAATATCGAGCTTTGAAACCAGGAGAAACAGTTCATGAGATTTTTTTTTCCCCAATTATCATAACACAGTTTCTAAATTGCTTCCTTCTTGACATCATATATTACATTATGGCCTCTCTGTGGTGCCTCATTATATGCTGATTTTTTTCTGATGGCCTACGGAATCCCTTTTTGCAATACTCACACCTATGTGGATAGTCTTTTGTGTGTATTGATATTACGTGTCGTTTAAAGCCTGACGCATCCGTAGTGCTATATTCACAATACTGGCATTGATAAACTTTCCTTCCACTGTGCGTCTTCATGTGCTTCTTAAGTTCAGTTTGCTGCCTAAATCCTCTTTTACATCTTTTGCACTTAAAAGGCAGGTCCTTGGTGTGAACTGAGAGGATGTGCCCGCTCAGTATAAAAGGATCTGACGTTTTAAAGTCACAGTGTCTACACTGATGTATCTTTTTACCTTTATGGGTTTCACTATGCTTTTTGAGCTCTGATGGACGATGGAAGCCTTTTTCACATACCTCGCATTTGTGGGGAAAATCCTTCGTATGAACTGAAATAATGTGTCGCTTCAGGTCACTGGAGTTGGTGCTCTTATGGTCACAGTGCGGACACTGATGAGTCTTATGCCCTTGAAACAATTCTGTGTGCTGCTGCAGCTCCTTTTCATCTGCAAAAGCCTGGGGACAGTGCTCACATTTAAATGGCAAGTCATTCCCATGTTTGGTTTTGATATGAGTTTTCAGATTGGACTGATCGGCACACCTGAAGACACAGTGCTGACACTGGTATGGCTTTTCCCCAGTGTGGGTCCTCATATGCTTTTTCAGCTCTGACGGATGACGGAATCCTTTCCCACACTCCACACATACGTGAGGGAAGTTCTTACTGTGAACTGCAAGTAGATGTCTATTGAGTAGCCCCTGCTCTGCAGTTTCATAGTCACAGTATTTGCACTTGTGCAGTTTAGGCTCTTTGTCCCTCAGTATTAGTTTATTAGAACTCAACGGGCTTGCTTCTCTGTATCTTCTTGTATATTCCGTAAACTCGTGGGTTTTATCAACTTTATTTATAAGTTTATGGCTTTCCAGATGATTGTGGAAACTTACTTTTTTGTTAGTTGTAAAGTCACAGTCTGTACACTGGTATTTCTTCTTAATCATATGATCTGGATGATTCTTCATATGCCTTTTCAAGAATCCTCTGGATTTAAATTTTTTCCCACATATATGACAAGGGTAAACTGTTAAGGGCTGTCCATCAGGACCTATTATAACAGCTGTTTTTAAACAAACAAAAACAAGTTATGAAGAAAACAAATTTACTGATTAAGAAGTTTTAAATCAGCCAACTGTTGTTCAGATTCATGCACTTACACTTGCAGCAAAAGTTCAGCAGTTTAAAAACAACCAATGCACAGCACCTACAGTTTATATATTGTTTTGTTTTAGAAAGTGATATCAGATGTACAGTGAGTACGTCCACAATTACTTTCTAATCACTCACAACATTCAAATGAATTACACCAGTGCTAGGTTGCTAACTTCAATAGCAAAACCTACCACATTCTCTATGCACAGAATTGGAGGGGGAAGGACACAGGAAATCCGCAAATCACCATTTAGATTTTTAATTCTGAACCAGTTTGGAAAAAAAAAAAAAAGAAAAAAAAAGAAGAATAGTAAAGGAGTAAGTGCCACTCCGTGAGAGCACACATAACCATACAGTGTTTACCTGTTTGCCATTGCCTGGCCTCTCCTCTCCTCCTTTTCTTGGTTTTTTGTTTTAGCACTCTATTAGTGCTAATGCTATCACAAATCTGCAGGTATTGTGTTGCATTACCGTTTTTGTTTTCTAATCGTGTATCCAAGTTATTCCCTAGAAACAAAAATTAGACACCATAAAAAATCTTAAACAATTATTTTCTTTGGGACTGATGACTGGAATTGCACAGCAAAATGTCTACTTTAAAACAAAACAGATCACCCACTCCTCTGCAATGAACAGGTTTTTTAAAAAGTGCCAATACAAAGCACTGCCTTTGGTAGCCAAACTCAAGAACTTAATTGTTTAAACAATTAATAATTTTCAAGTACATTTTTTGCTATCTTGTATTCTCAGAATATTAATTTCTGACAGGTTGTGCCAGTTACTTTCTCATCTCTATCTAACTTGATTTTACTTCCTAGCCAACTGCATCATCTCTGCTCTGACTACCAAACTATACACAACCAATGACTTCCCCATACAATTTGAGGCCCACAACACTTACAGAATTGTTTTCATTTCAAAATAGAAGAGAAATTACTATTCAGTTCTTCAGCTTATGCTTTATGAGTAATTTGTTGCATTCTCTGATGGGGAGAATCACAACACATTGATGTATACTACTTTAAAGACACTAAGTTACTTGTAAAGCTCTACACAGCATATTTGCGTGCCCTTACCTGCCGCTTGACCATCTTCATATCTTCTGGGTAGTCTTCTGTCATCTCCTGCAGAAAATGGTATTTTAGTCATTATAAATTTAAGTCCTTTTTAAAGATGATGGTTTTGAAAGTCCAAGAATGAGAGAAAACTACTGAAGTAAGTAACAGCTTAGTACTGTCCAAAATGAGCTGTGCAGTTCACATCAGTTCAGTATTTTGCAATTACATGCACCAGGAAATAAAGATCATATCTCTGTCAGTACTTGAATACTCACTGAAGGTGTGCTTGCACGCTTACCATGCTGTCTTTCCTGCCTCTCACTAGTAATAAGCTTGTTTCTGGAAAGTTCTAACCTTATAAAAAAACCTCAGATGTCAATCTAGAAATCAGAGGGGACCTGAAATCCACAATTTGTTCCTGAGATCAAAGTACTTTGTCCTTATGGAGTAGAACTTGGCAGATAAAAGGACTTCCACCCTACCAGCCATTCCACTCTCCTATGAGATGGAGAAGTCACATTAAGAGTGTATTCCTCATTTTGAATTGAAAGTGTTTACTGCTACGTGCCAAAGCCTGGTGCTTCACAACCACTTCATCACCCAGCTGCTGTGCTCAGAAATGGAACGCCACCAAATCTAAACTACCTAATTTGCTCACTTAAGTATAAGGCATTGATGATCTTGTACACTCAATATAATTTTAACGTGCCAAAATCCTAGAAACGAATAAATCTGAAATAACAGAATATTCAGAATTTGCAACATATCCTGATACTTCTACAATTTGAAACATGGCCGCAGAAGACATATTTTGTTTTTCTCACTTATGATCTAAAGGACTAGCAGGTTTAAAATATGTTACATAAATGGAACTGATCAGGGATGAATTTACACATCTCTTCTATTTTTTAAAGGCATTTCCCCTGTCTCCTAGTGAATATAAAATATTTAAGGTTATTCTTGCTTTTGTAAAATCCTTAACAGATGACTTCATCAATCATCAAAAATGTACACACACTGTACAGCTGAGCTGGTATGAAGAACAATGGTACCAAAGTTCTTCAAACAGCTTTCCTTCTTATTTCATAAAACTCAACATACAGCAATCCATTCATTGCATGCAGGACAACCAACTACTACAACAATATGACAACTGCTAGGCAGGCTGGCATTGAGGGAAAAAACCAAAAGCACTACAGAAATGAGATTTTTTTTTTCCCCTATCTGAATTGCAAAAAGCCAAGGACTTCACATGTGAAAGGTTGTGAATTACGTGGAAAAGAATTTTTCACAGCATTTTATTAGTTTCACTGACTGGCACTGCTGAAAGACCTGAAGGAGCTGCCTCCAAACCCCCACCCAATAGTGAAAAATTGTGACATTTGTACGTAGAATCTGGAAACCAGACTGGGAAAAAAATAAGGAAAGGGATTTTCAAAAAAAGAGCATAGAGATTCCTACCATAAGCAGCAGCCCAAGCAACAGGAACAAAAGTTTTATTCACACCAGTCTCTTCAAGCTGCGTGTCTGGAAGTGATGTAGCTTCTTCTTCACCTACAATAACTTCCATGTAAACTTCATCTGCTATTTCAGCACAGCCTGAGTTAAAGGAGAAGAATACATTTTACATTTTATTCTGCACATTTTAAATTTTCCTGCATTTAATTTGATTTCCCTCTTATTGATACCAGTTATAAATTAGTTTTCTTCCTCTGGCATTTAGAGCCACACCTTCCCTTAGGGGATAACTGTTTATTCAGACATTCCTTAAAGAGAGAAAACACATATCAATAAAAGCAAATACAAATTGAAGTATACAGATTTACAAATTTTAAAATGATGACATTTATTTGCCACTTTGCCAGAAAGAGAATTAAACATGGCAATTCACACAGGAAAACAGAGGTGTTAAAAAAAAAAAAAAAAAAAGAGAAATTCAACTAACCTCATTAACTTAATCCATGGACATGTTAAATTTAACATAAATAATGCAATGATGACATACAATATGAAAAAGTGCATCTTATCCACATCACTTTAAAATAATTATAACCTGCTCTTTATTTTTAGGAAGATGAACTTAGTTTGCTACTACTTCAGGCTGAAGAATCCTTCAGAAAAGTTTAAAAAGTCCTTGAGAATGATGCTTATATTGTTGTACAAAACAGCACAAGAAACAGAAATGTTTCGTATTATGCTTACTAATATCTTCATCTTCCTGAGAAGAGTCCTTAACAGCCATGTAAACCATTTTTTCTCGCTGCATTCTACCAACACCTCCTTGTTCAATTACTCCAGCTACTGAATGTCCATTGTGAAAATCACTCTCTGTGACAATTTCTGTCCCACCTTAAAAAAAGAAGCCAAACACCTTAAGTGCATGTAAACAAAGCCAATCTCAACATTAATTTCAGACTGAAGTGCTTTACAACAAAGCTATTGTATAAAACTCATCCTTTTGAAAGCAATGGCTTCCAAAACGTTGAATTAACATGGGAGGTAACCACATCACCAGACAACAGAAGTCAGATCCCAGGCATGATAAGAGGAACTTTTAAGAAAATTAGAGATTTGGTCACTGTATAACAGTGAAACTAACACTGATCCAAAACATCAGCCCAGTAAGTCTGTGTAGGAGGGTTCAACATCACGCAGCTACAGTAAGAGGCAGCAATACGCATTATGTTCCCATAATACTACCCACAAACTGCAATCAGCATAAATGAACTACCAAACAAATATCACTGCATTGCTTCTAAAGTCAAGCTGGATCACATGTAGCACACTGGTCCCCAAATACAGAGGTTTCACTCAACTGCACTTGCTGGATTCAGTGTTAATAAAGAACACTTTATTTTTCCGCTTTTAATTTCTATACGCTCCCCAAAGCTCTGATTGGCATCATGTGCCATGAAGAACTTGAGGGAAGACACAGAGACACCCCCACAGTCCTTAGGTTTATGAGGGCTGAAATTACAACCAAGAAATCCAACACAAAATGTGGGAGTAAAATGGAAACTAATGAGAAATGATAAGCAGTGCCACAGAGGCAATTAAAGCCAGATCTTTCTTTTGGGACTGACTGTCAGATTACATTTTGGAATACGTACGTATGTGTGCCAAAACAACTGGTCATTTTCAGTATTTATTATTCTATTTTTTACTTTTCCATATTTATCACAAAAAATGCAGGGGATTTTACTACCACAGCTTATTTTCAAAACTTTCGTCTAAAGTGGCTCAGCCAGGACATTTGTCCAAGTAACAACAGACTGCAATGCACTGACACACAATGAGACCAATGCTATCAGTAATAGTACTATTAAGAATACTTGTTACTCACAGCATTCAATCATGCAAAATCAAAGAAAATAAGTATCTATGAAAAAAAAAAAATGCAGCTGTTCGGCCACTTCTGTATTTGGGGTTTGGTAATAAACAAACGACATTCCAACATTGAAAATAAATACTGCTCGTCAAAAAATGACCTGAAACATTGCGTATTATCAGTATATGGGCAATTCCTTCCAATATCACTCTGAGGAACAATCCAGTGAATTACAAGACAGAAAGACCCGCAAACACTTCTCCATACTACCGGAAAAAAACACAGAATTTAAAGAGGTACCTATTTCAACATCATCTTCAGCTTCAGCTTTAAATATGTACACTTTGATAACTTCAGAACCAAACCCATCATCTTTAGCCACTTCATCATTTGTCACTTCAGTACTGATTTTCAAGGGAGCGCTTCCTATGTGGTCCAGTTTTTCTCCAACATCATCCACTGTAAAGATAAGAGAGCAACAATGAGGCTCAAACATACTGTCACACGTTAGCATGATTTTCTCCACTACTATCCCCACACATAGTAAAGTTTTGCATACATTAAGGGCCTTTACAAAATAAGTCATCTTAAGGTACTTAAAAGAAATTCCAGAAGCTCAACACTCATTCTGTTGCAAATCTGCAATCATCTCATGAATTACTAAGTGAAGAACATGAGGGAACTTTGGTCATCAAAGTATGTAGTTTTGCCTGAAACTATTATACTGCAGAAGCAAAAATGTATCAGTAGGTGAAATCAAACAAGTCTCCATAAAAATGTGAAAAGCTAGCCCAGGGTTGCCTGTTACAGTGCAAGAGTTCCAAGAAGCTTCACTACTCTACAATACTCTACAATACTAAGATTTAGTAGTAGACACTCTAATCAACAGTGGTATCTCCTGAGTATACTCCAGTGACAGAAACATGAATAATTTTCAATTTTCTATCTAAAAGAAATCATGATTTTATCAAATTTTACCACCTGAAAACATGCCAATTAATGAAGATCATTGTATAGCATACAGCTGATTGAAAGATGAGACAAAAGTAAATCCAAATAATATTATCTGAAGTTGACTTCTCTTTCTTTATGTGTACACATTTGCTACTACTGCTATTTGATGTATTTGGGCCTACATATTCAATAAAAAATACATTAAAACCATTAGAAGTTTTTGTCTTTTTACCACTGTTTTGGTAAGAAGAGCATGCACAAAGATCTCCATATATGTATGTCCCAAGTTGCTAACATGGAGGACAGTGACCCAAGTGCCTTTCTGACACACACACTGCCACCACACAAAATTAGCTCCTTTGTGGATGGCCAGCACAGGCCTACGTAACACCCACAGACATCCTCTGACCAGGGATGAATCCCCCCAAACGTAAACAAAACCTGAAATACATACATTTCATGGACATTGCAATGTACTGCATATATAACAAGTGTAACACTGGGGGAGGGGGGGGGGAAGTTAAACAATTCTGTGAAAAGAGTGCTTCATGACTACGACTGTGAGCATACTCCATGGGGGTGTGGAGATCTCCCCACGTTTCTGAGGCTCACCCTGGGATGCTGCGGCGCTCCCCAATGCCCCTCTAAGCTTCCAGCTCTCTGTGCTGCCACTTCTGCTCCTGAAGAGCTGCTTTTAACTACTTCAGGCTACAGCCCGGTGTGCTGAGGTACACTGGAATTAGTTTAGGCTTTTCTTAATACTCAAGGCAGTCATGTGAGATGGTGCAGAACCCATTACAAAAACAACAAGATGCCTTTCCTGCAGCAGGGCTGGAATTCACCACAGCAATCCCAAACTAAGCTCCTCCCACTCACAGACAGGATTCCATGGAAAATAATCTATCCCAGTTAAACCATTTTCCATCCGCACATTCAGGAACCTTATTTTTATTTCAGAAATTTTGAGCTGCACCAGAAGAGTACAGAAATTAATGAGAGCACAACTAGGTGTAAAGCAGGTAAGCATAAATAAGTATTTCATTTTAAAACTTCTGAATATTACATTTTATATTATTTTATATTTTGATAAAAACAGGAAAATATATTTAAAAAAAAAAAAAAAGAACTGTTAAATTGTTTCTTTCTGTAAGTAACAGACTGACTGAAATGCCCCAGTGTATCCCACTTGGATCAGTGGAAATAATGTAAAATTACCCTCAGAAAAAAAGATTTTTGTTTTGTAATTAAAAACATTCTAAAACTCTACAAAAATCACCACCACCACCACCAATCCCTTATCTGCTAAAATCTGACATGCAGTACATTACACTCACATTACCTTACAGGGCAATGTAACAGTCAGAGTATCGACGCCACAAACAACAAAGCCACAACTTATCCACAGCCTTCAAAACACACGTTTAATTTTAGTACAAGGAACATTTCCACTGCATACACAAATATACGAAGGATCAGGATCAGAGGCAACTAACAGTGAAAGGCAGGGGTGATTGTACAAACAGCTATATGACTAGATATGCTGCCAAAACATAGAAAGAGAAGTTAAAGGCTGGGTATTCAAAATCACTAATTGCACTAATTGCTGCCTCTGTAATCTTACAAGGGGCAGTAAAGTTATTTTCAAATCCATAATTCAAACAACATGAACTTTTTCTAAACTCATGCACTTTATAATCGTAACATGTTGGTTTCACACAGGAAATAGGCATTTCAGTACTGGAAGTAGTAAAGCAACTTCCTACTGAACTGAGACGACATCAGTTACATGTGGTACCCTTCCTTCACAGAAAATATTCCCATTTAACTAAAGTTGGATGACTGTATCTGGTGAAACAGCATAACAATAAGCAAACCATATTAGTGCCTTACCATGGCATCAATTGCAACTCAAGAAAGATTACATAAAGATTAAAAGAAGGAATTTTCAATTTTAACTTTTTTTCAATCAGATTAAGGATTTTCACCCAAAAATTTAGTGTGAACACATGAATATGGTACACATGGTTATGTGCTGGTGCTGTACTTCACCAATTCAAATTTGTAATGTTCTTTAAAAAAAAAAATAAAAAGCCATGCTTAGAGGGACAAACTCACAGCAGCACTTTCAAAACCAGCAGTGACTCCCACACCATTGACCATCCTCTGTGTTTACCAAGATCTATAGTCTCTACAATTTCAGCTAAAGTTATGGAAATAAAGGGAAGCCTGCATACAGAGGGCCTTTGAAATTACTTTCTGGGAAAGTGAAAGTGAAATAAGAAAACCTGAGAAGAACCAAGTGGGCTGAGGAGCTGTTACTGCCACAGACCACCAACTGTAAGATAATGCAGTTTGTTTAAGTACCTGCAAGAAAAGACACTGGCTGAACAATTGATACTCCTTAGATTGCCATCTTATACAAACTAAACTTGGTGGTTTCAATCAATTATTTAAAAACAAATTTAAATCAGAAAAAAACAACAGCAGGACATGTAATCTTTGTCAAGTTCCAAAACACGGGGATTTTTTTTTTTTCTTTAAAGGCTATAAAAATATTCTATGGTCTAAGTGATAGGACTTAATTACACATTGGTATCCCAATGTCAAAAGAACTGATGCCTTTTCCCAGTGATAGTTCCCAGGAACAGGAATGCTTCCTTTATGTCAATAGAAGAATATGAAAGTGCTTTCCACATCTGACTCATCTACCAGAAGCACTACATATTATTATCTTGTCATTTAAAATTAACTGAAAAAACACAACAGAAAACTTTTATAAATATATGCTGAATCCTCCTGAATAACAAAGTTTAAAGGAAAACTCAGCACACTTCTAGTATTAAACTTACCTTGGCTGTTTTCAGGTGTGTGATGTCCAGATTCACCGTGGATTGCCAGCTCCAGGTTCACGTGATGCCTCAGCATGCACTATGCTGGTGATATCACACCCACCATAGGAGCCCATAGGAATAACACGAGGCCAAGATAAGTCCAGCGGTTTTACAATTTTTCATATTCTTCCAATGTCTGATATACTTATTTTATATCCCATTGGTCACAGTATAGGAGTACTAAAATGTTCAGCAAACTATTTAACACTGTACCATAATACACTAAAAAGGAGGCGGCGGTGACAGTACCTTACCCCTAAAGGCCAGCTCCAGAGTTGCTCTTTGGTGGGTATGAGGTCACCAACATAGTGCATGCAGGGCCAACGCTCGGGTCGGGAGCTGGCAATCCCCTGTGGGTCTGAATATCGCAAACCTGAAAAACAAAAAAGGGCATGCTTTAAGCTACACGTGTGCTAATCCCACCCTGGCAAAATGGGATGCGCTGCTTATTATATTCACATCTCAGTACGGAGACGGCATGATCACACCATGTGCATTCATCCTGTATTTATTTCCTTTGAAACAAGTACTTCCTCAGCAGGTATTCCAGAGATTTAGAAAAGGGGTATTGTGCGTCTCCCGTGGCACACCCTGAACTGCATCAAAACCAAGCATTTACGCTTGCAAAGCTGATTTTAAAAGCTGAATTCATCAGCGCTGGGACAGTGCCAAAATCTACCCGTCAGTGTATTTGAGCCAAAATCCCCAGCAAAAGAATAAGCTAAAATTTTAAGTTAACACTCATGCTCAGCTCAGCTACACGCTCTAAAATAAATATACATATATATATTAAAAAACACTTCTAATATTTTACAAGTTCCCCACAATGTGCTCCACAGCTGGAATATTCCCCAAGGGTACAACTGTCACACTGTGTATAGTTCCCCCTTTTCAGCTTCTGAGTTTCACTAAATACAGATACAAAATACTATGAATCTTCAATATTTTGAAGTGATCTAAGTTAAAATTTACTTAGAAGTTAATCAACCCTATGAACACACCCTAAAACAAACCACACCATAAATTAACTTTCTACAATATTTAGTGAACATCTGAAATTAAAAATGTAAGTAAAAATGTCTTTAAACTTGTTAAACCTGTTAAACTGATATATTTATCTACTATACAGAGATTGTCTTCAGAACCATAAGAAATTAATGGCCTATTTATAAAACATAAAATAAACAAACAGAAAACGTGCAATCAATGAACTGCATGAGACTCATTCACTTTTGCTGAAAAAATAACAGAAAATAAAAATCAACAGTGCATCCTTTGTCAGTTCTGGCTGGCTCAGAGCACAGCACAGCCTCAAAACTTCACAGAGGCAAAAGCCTGCCTTAATATGCACCTGATTACTTTCAAACAAAATTCCAGACTAATAATGTCGCTTCCAACCACGATTACTCAGACATATCTGTCATACAGACAGGCAGAAGTGATTTGCTTAAATCTGGGTCTCAGACTGGCTTTGAAACACTGGAAAAGCCACGACCAGTCTTGAGCACACCTGACAACACTAGGTATGTACAGCTGGGGTCACCAGGTAACCTGCTGAAGGCTGAGATGCTCTTGTCTAAGGACAGTGACTGTTACCATCAAATCACAGATCTATCTAACAAGAATTCCAAAGATGACTTTACTTACAATTACAAAGGTGCAGCTGGAAATACCACGGTTACAGAATACAACTCATCGTAAGTACTCTGTCAGAAAGGAGGAATTTTTTCAGTGAAACTACTGACTGTATGAACGGCGTTCCTTTATTTACAAACACATGGGATTTTTTATGTTGCAGGTTTAACTTGCTTTTAGGCTGAGGATTTCTTTTGGCTCTCCTACCAAAGTAGTTGCAACTTCCATTAGTGGCATGTAACATTACAGAAATCACAGGATGGTAACCTTATACTGAATGAAAAATAAACGGCAGAGGGACAGTGTGCAGCAGTACTATGAAAAGTGCTCTATTTCATGCAATGAAATATTTAAATCATCACAATCGCTGATCTGCCACACCCAGACATTTTTAAATGGAGCTTACTGAGAAGAGATGGACATTTCAGCACTTGGCTTCTTTTTAACAAACCCAGAAAACACATTGGTTCTGACAAAATAAAATCTGTTCTGATGTACTGACACTGCAATACCTGATTTGGAGAAATCAAAAATCCAAAAAACCATCATATTTTACCTGATCTGTGTGTAAGAGCAAAAACTGCTATCTTAAGTGTAATTTAACCACTGACGAAACACAATATACCCAAGGTATAAATTCACTAACCCTTTTAGCAGCTCTTGCTCAACTCATAGACTGTAACTACACAGCTTCCTCAAAAGTTTGGATGGGGTCTGAATGCCATGTGGAAACTGAAGTAGGCAGCCTCCTTCCACTTACAGAAAGTTTCTCAGTTAATATACTCAACTCCTTATGTCAAGTTGTGTCCACAACAGCACAACATGCAAGAAAGTGGCTGCTATTGTTTTTAATGCAGCTAAACAACGTTTTGTTGAGAAGAGGAAAAGAAAAAAAAAAAAAAGCTGTATCTTGAAAAAGCTGCCTTCTTTGTTGGATTCTACTGATCGAACCCAACATGTCATTTCTTTGTGAACCTGCATAATACAGTATTATACCTCTGTTTAAAAAAAAAAAAAAAAAAAAAAAAGTTTCCTACTCAACATGTATGTAATTTTTAACTTCCATATGTTTTCTCTTAATTTTGGGGAATATCAGTTTCAGAAACAGAAGCCTACAGATTCAACAGCTTGAAGATCATTATTTTTCTTGCTGTATCACTAATAATTATTTTCACTATGCAAACTCAAATCCAGACAAGAAGAATTAAAAAGAATTAACTGGAGAGCTCCAGTACATAGTGCAGCAAGGATCCAGGTAACGTGATTTCTCTCCACTAGACCACTTCTACTTAAGGTAATCTCCTGTGCATGTCTACCTTTGTTTAACTTACAAGATATCATTAAGTAGTCTTCCGATGTACTCTTGCCATCATCATCATCTTCTGTTTTTATAGTCACTGTAGAGCCAGGAACAGTACCAGCTGCCTGAACGACTGTTTCAGAATCTGAGTTTGTTACAAGGACTTCTTCTGAGACCATCGTAGGTGAGTCAGCTGCTGACACGGAGTCTTGCACCACGTGCTCCAAATGTCCATCGGGACCCGTAACAAGGTCAGCCACAAACACCTGGTCAGGAACTCTAACAGCTTCTGTTATTAGATCAGAAGTCAGGACATGATCACTGGTATCTAGTGCTTCTTCAATAGCCACATCAGTTTCCAGAACAGAATCAGGAACAATGACACCCTCTGTTACAACATCAGTTTCAGTGATGATGTCTGGTCCTTGCACAACTTCAGCTGCTAAGCCATGGTCAAGAGTTATTCCATCATCGGTAACAACATCAGAAACAAGGACAGCTTCAGGGACTGACACAACAATATGATCTCCATCAATATGAGCAGTGCCGGCCATTCCAGCCACTATGGAACAATTAGGAATGAGGAAAAAAAAGGTTAAAATTATTGCATTAGCAAAGTTTATCCAAGGAACAGAATAATTGTGTAAGTGAGGTAAACACAGATGTAAATCTGTTATTTTTCAACAATCTATACTTTGCACCTCACCAGAAAAGACTGCTCAAAGTAGTCCATGTGCTAACAATACATTCTTTGGTGGTACAATAAAAGGACTCTGACACTTAAGACTGGAGAGGCCTTGATAAAAATAAGCATTCTATCATAAGCCATATTTATAGCACAATTTCCAACAACTTGCCACATTGCAATCGATAGCTAGAAGTAGAAAGCAGGCCAGTCATATTTGAAAGCTACTTTTCTATTAAAAAAAAAAAAAAGTGAATTGTTGTAATGCATCCTGAAATAGCAGATTGAATCTTAATGAATAAAACATTCACTTACAAGAGTGAAAAAAATACTGGAATTATTCAACACTGCTGCAAGTGCGATTATTTTGGCACTTTGTGAAAGACATTAATTAACCATAGATTCAGCTACATCTGTAAATTGTTGCTACCTAGAAAGTTACTTGTTGACACACAAAGACTTCATTTTCCACCTCATTTACACCTCCTAAGTGAGAACTGGAGACAGTCATCAAGGCAACCAACAAAAGCTCAGCTGTACCTGTACCAGCATGCAGACGTAACAGCAGACCAGTGGTATTTCAAGCAGAGGCACACACTACAGCAGCACTGAACTCCTTACAACATCTGTCCCACCCGCAGCACTCTGAACCACAGATGGCTGTTATTTTTTTTTTTTAAGTTACCTCAATTTTTTGGGATAGGTGATTATTTCTAGATGAGTGACCAAAGCATATACAAAGCCTCATTATACATTTACTAATATTTTGAAATTTCTCCAAAAAGCCATGCAAACATCATTGTTGCACTAGTCAACTTCACATCCTGAAATCACTTGCAAACATATAGCAAACCTAAGAACAGTCTTGATGTTATTAATTAATGTTTAACAGATAAAATGTTTACCGAAGTCCTGCATAATCATAGCGTGAGGCATTTTGGATTCTTGTGTTTGCAATCCAAGACTTCCACCACCCGGATCCATATTCAGCTAAATTCATTCACAAATAACTGCAAAAGCAAAATCAGAGTTTGTTAACCACAGCACCATTGTGTTTGTCAGCTTCACTGGATTCATGTGTCACATTGACTAACAGAAAACCATCCACAAGTTCAGTAAAAAACAAGCAGCACTTCATACAACTCACTTTGCTTTCTTCCCACAGCTTTATGCTTTGTGACCTAATATCCCATAAATGTTACCATCTGTAAATAATCATGCAGTACTCAAAAGAATTATTCACGCAAGTGAAATCAAACACGTTAATAGTTCTTTTCCTATGTAAATCTCTGGTTACTGCCTGGCCTAGAACAGTTCGTAATCTGTGTAATTAAACCAAGAAGTAGAGGAACAGACTTTGACTTTACTTCTAGGAGCTGCAAATACAAGAAATGTCACAACCTTCAATTCCCCCACTGCAAACTGAACATGAAGCTTTGCAGTGTCATGGGGCCATCTCCATAGAGTAACACTTGCATTCACAAGCAATATAGGCAGTAGCATCAGGCCATCCTAACAAAACAGTGCAATGCATACTAGGAACCAACAACCTGATTAGATGTAACTACTATCCAGAAGCAGAAATTTGCCATGAAGACTATTACCTTTACAGGAAATAAACCACAGGTGACAGTGAGGAGAAGCAACAATCAGAAGTCACCTGAGCAGGATGACCACCTCCAGGCTTTACCCTACCAACCTGCACCAGCAGCCAAGAACAAGGAGCCACCTGCGCTCAGCCTTTCAACAAATTATCAGGGCTGGCCAAGATGGCTGCATGGAGCACAGTGCACTCAGAAGCAGTTTTTCAGATTCTCTCACGATTTTCTATCAGCTATCTCAAACATGTATCAATTTTTTCATGTGTAGATTTCATTAAGCAGATTAAATGGCAGTTAAGTTTTGAAAAAAAGCTGCACTGTGCACGACATTTACGAGAACAGAAGTGCTGAAGCAGCTTTTCAGTGGCTGTGTGTGAGCCCCCCTGTATCATTAGAAAATAGTCCAACACAAGACCTAGCATAAGATTTCAGCCATGTGCAGTTGGATGTGCACACAGTGCAAAGCTACCCAGTGCAGCAGCAGGAACCCTGTGTAAGAAATGGCAGTGCAACATCTCCACTGCCACAGGACTTTGCAGAAGAAACAACATTGCTGACCTGACTTCTGCACCAGCATCTCCATTCACCAGCCCAGCTCTATCCACACTGGTTGATGACTTTCACAAAATTATCTCATTATTTTAGAAATCTGATCTTCCAAGCACTATCCCTTCTGTGCCACCTCATTTCTGCAGCCAAGAGAAAGCTGGTCCTACACAGCCATCTGCAACGTCCCTCTGGTGTAAAAACAGTCCTGTGCAGCTTTTTATAGAGCAGACCCACCAACCAGTTGTAAAATTCCTGCTGTTACATCTTAAGCTTCCTTGCTTTGGTGTTCCATACCTGCTTTGCTACTTTGGCTCTTTAATGCTCAGGGGCTTCTGTTTCCCAATTTATCTAACACAAAGAAATACAAAACAGTAACAACCAATCTTAAGCAGACAAAATAAAGATGTGGAAAAAGCAAACCATGCTTACTGTAACTTCATTATCAAGGAAGGAAATGACCAGAGGTTATTCTTTTACACTCTTGAAATCCTCAGGTGAGAAAGCAGCAAGCAGCCCGCAAAGATGGAGATTTCAAGCAACAGTCATCGCTCCAAACGAGGGAGGCTCCAACTTAACTGAGGACACAAAAGAACCAAAGAACTGTTATCACCCTGAGTCAGCATTGCCCTTTAATACTTTTTCTCTGCAGCGTAGTTAAAATCTATTTGTTTCAAGTTGTCTTGAAATCTACAATGCAGATTCTTAGAGAAGCAAAAAAATGAATGTATTTCTTTCTACAGAATTTACTCTACAACAATCTCCCAGATCATTTCTGAAGGTACAGGGTAAGTTGTTTCCACAGACCAACAAATGCTATGTACACAAAAGTCAAACATCACCAGTGAAGAAAGCAGACTAGAATTTAAATAACACAATCCTTCAAACATTCACATTTCAATGCAGTTTTTAAATTTTAGCTTCAAGTTCCAATTCATTCATTGGAGTAAGAACCATAGAGCAGCTTCAGAACTTCAATCCAGTGCTCAACCATTCCTAAATCACTGCCACAGCACCTGAAATTCTTCAGGTCGTTAACAAATGCTGATACAAGGTAAGATACCATTCCAGACCATAAACAGCTCATCAGATGGAGCATCCAACAGAGCGATTTCAGAACTAATGCAGCACTCTCCAATATCCCAACCACAGTCACTATCCTCAGGGAACAAGGTCACTACCAGTCTGAAACTACAGGAGAAATATACTGGGTTTTGTTCTTTCTTAATAAGCAACTTAATTATAGACTACGCAGTTTAGAGGCTCAAATATATCATATAATGTGCTACACAAAAAATTCAGTACACAGTAAGACTATGATTTTAATTTAAATCTCTGCAAAGAAAACTAATTGTCACTAAGAATAATTTTTCCCAGTTAGTAACAGGAATATGAAAGTGATGCAAGTTCTGGGATGGCAGCCCCTGGGCATGCACACATCTTAAATTCTGCACTCACAACCAAGATGGACAAAGATGTGCCAGCAGGGAACATGCAGAGCTGTGCCCTGGTTGATGCACCTAGCATCCAAGCACTGTGAGTACACTCTCATGACCCCCTGGTGCAGGCAAAGGGCAGAGCAGCATCAGCAATTAAATGAGAGATTTTCTTATGCCTAATTTTGGATTTAGAAAGAATGCAATAACAGCAGGAAGGCTCCTAATGCTTGGACAATTAACAGATAAGGCTCGTGGCTCTGCTATAATTGGTATTTTTCCCTCACAGGTCTCAGTAACACAGTTGATTTCACACACTACACATCCACACAAATCCGATTCTTATAAGCAGCACAGCAACACAGCACACTGATGAACTGTGGTTCTTCACAGCTTCCTTCTGTAGTACACAGCATTTCACACCCACACAATTACAGAAGACATGTTCCAATCACATCTTAAAAAAGGACATTGAGAAATAAGCCAAAATGCCTCAACTCTGGACTCTGTCACAGCCCTGTGCTCACACACATCTCTCCTCCATGAACCTATCATGACATCAAGTTTTTCCTCTCCCTTCTCTCCTTTAGGTATTCAGAACAAAATGCTGCAAAGTACTTCATTAGCCTCAGGGGATAAAATAATTTCACTTTAGAATATTCAGTAACACGTTCTTTGGTTTAACTGCAGCACGCTATCTCAGTCGAGACCAGGCAATACACTGTACAACAAAAAGGGAACGCAGGACCTTTCTGTCTGGATGCAGGAACACTATGTAAACCCATGCAAACGCTGTGTGTAAAACCAAACTTAACGCTTGGCACTGGGGGACTACCACACTTAACATCACTTTATGCATGTGTTGATGCCCTGTGATGCATTTTCATACAACGCACACCTGATGGTCAGCCTTAGCTTCTCCTCTAAAATAGTATAATTCTTCTCATTAATATTTGAGACGTGTTTACATATAATGAAGTAAAATGCAGCATCGGACTTGGCCAGGAGCTGCAAATCCTCTTGGGCTGCACGTGACATTTGGTTAAACTGAAACTCAGCTACAGGAGTGTTCCAATATAACACAGGAAACAAACTCAGATGTAGCTGAGAAATTCGAACCAGATGTTTTCAGATTCTCCCACCTATTAAAATTCGAGTTCAGTATCAACATAAAAGAATTATCTTCCCCTGAAAATATTTCAGCCGCGTTTTCCCTTTCAAATTTTAATGCAGCAACCCACAGAAATGGAACTGCAGAAACAGAACAGACGGCGCCAATTCAGAAAGCAACACGGAGCACAGCGCGAACCGTGTGCACAAAAAGACCGGGAGTTACAGCTAACGTATCCGCTTTAAAGCCCTTTACTGCGATCACCTATCCACGGATACATTTAAATGACAAAGACGGCGAAAGACCGTCCCGCCGCCCGATCCGCGCCCCAAGCCGCACGGATTAGGGATACAAACGCGCATCCCCGGCGGCAGCTCCCGCCCGAGGGAGGGACAGGGCAGGGCAGGGCAGGGCCGGGGCTGCGCGGCTGCGGAGCGCTGCGCGTGCCCACGGACCGGGCGCGCCGCCGGGCGTCGGGAACGCGGCGCCGGGAGCCCGCAGCGGCGGTGGGCAGCGCCCGGTTCCCGCGCTCCGCAGCGGGGCTGCGCGGCG